TATTTACTTTGGTTTTGGTTTTACGACAGTCAAGTGAAAACCACTCTATTTCAATAAAGCAAATCAACGCTGTTCTTTTTTTTAATGCCGTTTTAAAAAAATTGCCTTGAAAATAGATAAACACGTAATGTTAGGTTATTTATTGTAGTTCAACAAACACCTTGAATTTGATTTTTTTTAACTCCATCCAAAATTCCCACGTGCACGAGCCAAGCAAACAAGTTGAACATTTGCAGCATTTGCATATTACCACAGAGAAAAACCTAACCTCAAGAAACTGTCTTTTTATTAAAAAGCCTAGGATTCAGTGTTTTGAAATACATTGTCTTAACGTTCTGCTGACATAGGAAAAAAATGCTTAATGAGATTCTTATTCGCCACATTCCACTGAAAACAAAGCGAGTGAAAAGACAAAGTCAACCTGCCTGGATGACAACTGAAGTTCACAAAAGCATAAAAACAAGAGACAAGTTGCTCAGAAGAGCGCGAAAGACAAACAAGCCGGAAGATTGGAATCATTACTCCAACGCTAAATGCAGAACTGCCAAGGTCAAAACGATCCTTTTTCTTTTGAGGAAATTGACAAAACTTAGGGAAATCCCAAAGGTATTTGGAATGCCCTAAGTGGCTCAGGCAGATGAACGACTAAAATCGTGGAATTAGAGACGGAAAATAGGACAGTATGTGATGAGTCATCCTTAGCCAATGAATTTAATGGCTTTTCACTAAGACTCTGGAACAACTAGGGAAGGACAATCACCCTAGTGACTCTGTCTTTGATGACTCAAAACTGAAGAAATTTATTTCATCCAGGCTTAGCCCCACTACAAGTTTTGTCATACCTGAAATTAATCCGCAGCAGGTTGCTGATATCATTAGTAAGATCTCAGTCAACAAGGCAACTGGACATGATGGTTTGAGTGCCAAAATCCTCAAACTTATCTCACCATCATTTATCCACCCACTTTGCAGGCTACTGAACTTATCAATTGCAACCAATACCTTCCCTGATAAATGGAAAGTCAGCCAAGTTACACCAGACTGCACAAAGGTGGTCAGCAATGTGAAAGAAATAACTATCGCCCCATACTAGTGCTACCAATCCTATCTAAAATGATCAAAAAACATGGTGCAAACTTGCTATTAAAATATCTTCAAGGAAACAATTTGCCATATGAATTACAATCAGCTTTCCGTTCTGGTCATTCCACTGAAACGGATCTTATCAGAATCACTGATTAAATTTTGATTAAAATGGATAATGATGAAGTCACGGGACTAGTATTTGTTGATTTCCGTGAAGCGTTCAACGTAATCAAGCACAAACTACTACTAAAGAAAGTATTATCAGTGTACGGTGCCAGCCTAGATAGCATGGCCTGGTTTTGATCATATCTGGAAGAGTGAGGGCAATTTGTGAAACTAGGGCATATAGCATCTGACCCTAAAGCTGTCAGGCAAGAGGTACTGCAGGGATCAATCCTCGGTCCAGTTTTATTTCTCCTATTTGTGAATGATATGCCTTTACATTTGAACAACTCCACCATTGATATATATGCTGACAACACCACCCTGTCCTTGAGTGCAAACTGAAATAATATCACTTCTTTAACTCAGGCTCTTTCTAATGACTTGGAGAATATCGAGAAATGGTCAACCGAAAACAAAAACTACATCAATACCTAGAAGAGTAAAGCGTTACTAGTTACAGGAAAAAGGTTACAACATAAGCTTAGTGAGGAAACAGCAACCTTAAAACTATGCCTTGATGCCACAAATATTGACAAATTATCGCATGACAAGTTACTGGGCTTAATCATTGATAAAGATCTTAGCTTTGAGGCACACAGGTGTAGACGAATGTAAGAAACTGTCAAAATGACTCGGACTTTTGAGGCATATTAGTCCTTATCTCTAGAAAAGACACAAATTAATTTGTTATCTTGCTGCCATAAAGCCAGTTATGTTGTACCTCAGTCCAATCTGGTCATCTTGCAGTAAGGAATTGCTAGAAAGAGTGTTACGGATGCAGAAGCAAGCTGCATGCATTATATTGCACACGGAAAGGACAACACGCACATTAACTATGTATAAAATCAAACTTAACTAGATTCCATTTTTTATCGAGGCATACACAAATAGATGCTCTATAACCTTTAAGAGACTAGAGGGTACTACTCCAGATTATATTAATTTTATATTAAAGACAAATTCTGAGATTCATAACCGGTCCACTTGTTTTGCAAATTTAAATTTTCATCGACCTGTCTTTAAGAAAAACACAGAGGGAGGCAGGACTTAAAGTGCGTGAACTATTAGAAATTGGAACGAACTTTTCTTTGACGTAAAGAAGGTGAAAAATGTTGAATCTTTCAAAAATAAATAATGTATACGAATTTGATTGCTAAGCAAAGGGAAACAGGGAATTTTGAATATCTTATAAATAATTTTAAATAGTTTGAATGTCTTTTAAGTGGCTGTCCGCCTAAGAGCGGTCCGGCGAGTTTGGGATCGCCAGTAAACCTTCCCTTTATTTTTTGTGGGTGAAAAGGACTTAATGAGGAATGATTAAAATCGAACTAATTTTTTTCAAAATCCTTTTCTGTGCTTTGCTACAGCACAAAACTTCTTTCCCGTCTGAGAGCACTTTTTCAACCTTATTCGATGGCCGAAATTCAGTGATTTTAAAAGCCGCGCTTCTTCGTAACAGATAAATATCGCTTAATTCTACAGAGTACAATGGATTTAGCTGCATTTGACTTGTCCTATGACGGAATATGGAATAATTTGACGCAAAATTAAATTAAACTAATAAAATCAAACACAAGCCCCTTTGCAGTTTTTTTTCCCCCTCGACAAATTCTTCCAAAGTAAAAGCTAAAATTTCCAAAGCGGTACAAAAATCACAGGTAAAATGCACTTCACAGCAAAGATCTTACCTTATTCTATCAGAAAATAAAGTCAAAGGTGTGGGTATCGTTCTGCGTTGGACATGATCAAACGTTTTTAAGAGTGTCTTTTCGACATAATTTGCATAGATTTGCTCGCTTAACGGCTCACACACCACGACTTTAATTTAGTAGATATTTTCTCAGCAGCTGAGAATGTTAGTGTGTATCCACAAAATAACGAACATGTGTTTTCTTTTCATTAGCCTTTTTAAGTTTGTATAAATGAAAGCCGAAAAAAATGTCATAAACTGACATTCTTGATCAACCCGTCGGATATGCAAATCGTGCTTGTTTACAGCCAGGCTGTCCATTTCAGCTATGTTAAAATCTCAAACTATGTACGGTTATTAACTTCTTCTCAAATGTAATCAATCTTCAGCTTGGAAACTCAGCAACCGGATACCCTTTTTAAAATAGAAATTTATCTCATATTCCATTTGAGATTCTTTTTCCGTTTCGAGCATTTGACATGATTTGAGTCATTGTTGAATTCCCACATCCGTGTTTATCCCTCATTTATCATGAACATGTCGGGTTCTCTCACCTCGGATGACTTTTCTCATGTAGCTCTTGAGAAATTATTAAGAATCACTTTAAGTTTGGTGATGGGTATGTCTGTTGTAATATTTTTCCAAGTGCGGGTAATATTGAACGTTTGTCCCACACGCCATCAGTCATATGCTAATTTGCATTTTTGTCACGCAATACACCTTCAGTATCGATCCCTTTCTTTGCATAAACAAATAAAGGTTGAACCATTACCTTATTAATAGGGGGTGGGGGGAGGACAAGGACACCGAGATTAAAAAAGAATTTTACAGGGCTGGAAGGATAATATATATTATACAACGAAGTGCCAGAGTGGTGTCCTGATAGATAGTTAACCTTGAGCAGAATAGAAGTAGACTGATGAAACTGGATTAAATCTTGAACATTTGTTGCTACCCAGAGTTTCATGCCTCTTGCGAGGCAATCATCAGGCAACTGCCAAAATTAACGGTTACAATCAAAGATATAGGTAAAACTGAACAGTAAATACTAGGTAAAGTGCCACGTTGCTTGTAATTAAATTGATTCATTACTAGAAAAAATCCCTAGCTCCTATTATATGCCAGGGGCACCCAACGACGGTTTCCTCCTAAATGCATTGAGAACATTTAACACATTGCCAAGAAAAACATGTAAGTCATTAGCAAGATTTTTTTTACGTCAAATTTACATAATATAAAAGAAAAGCGTGTTTAACCTGTTTCACCCTTTTATCTAGTTGTCGTTTTTTTTTTTGTTGAGATATAGGGAAAAGATGAGTGTATTTGTTTAGTATATGTTATTCCCTATCCCTTAGTATTACATAACAATAACATAACAACTAAAGACATTCAGCTGTACTTACAGTTTTGGAATGTGGACTTGAGGAGTAGTCTTGAGTTTTTGCCAGGTAAATGATAAAAAGGAAGATCCCGAACTTTGTCCATAACACAATAAAACGTACAAAAAGTGATCACCGCAAAGCCTTAAGACCGATGCATTTTTTTTCCAACGATAATCGACTGAGGCGAAAAAAAGTTTAAGAATAAACAACATAACGAGTAAGCTCGATCTATGTGGGGTCTCCTCTGCAAAATCACCCCAAATTCAGTGTAGACACATGCTTATCGCCAGCATTGTATGCCGTGCCTACTGTTACTCCGCAAAAAACCTACTGTTACTCCGCAAAAAATTTACACCAGAACTGATAGAAAGTTTCGAGTAAACAGGCTTTCCGTCGGAAAATTCTAACCGCTATGGCTGAAAACCACGAACCCAAAAAGTAAGGTAACGTTTACGATCTTTAACTCGAGTTTCAACGTGGGGAGGATGGTTTCCTCTTTCTTTATGTACGAAAACGCCTGACAGCAAACAAGGACCTTTCTGTTGCGGTATAAAAAAACAATACTGCAAAGTTTTGCAGCAAAAGCCAGTAGTCGTCGGTAGTCAGTCAGGCAATCACCGTAAAAGTTTCACACCAGAACTGGTGCAAAGTTTCGCAGCAAAAGTCAGTAGTCGTAAGTAGTCAGTCAGGCAATCACCGTAAAAGCTTCACACCAGAACTGGTGCAAAGTTTCGCAGCAAAAGCCAATAGTGGTAGGTAGTCAGTCAGGCAATCACCGCAAAAGTTTCACACCAGAACTGGTGCAAAGTTTCGCAGCAAAAGCCAGTAGTCGTAAGTAGTCAGTCAGGCAATCACCGTAAAAGTTTCACACCAGAACTGGTGCAAAGTTTCGCAGCAAAAGCCAATAGTTGTATGTAAGTCAAGAATGTTTCGTTTTGCAGTCAGACAATCACCTATAAAGGCATGTAACCTTATGTCGTGCATGCGATGGTCGTGTGATGTCTATAAGTTATAGAATCGAAGCGCAGTTGAAACAAATGTAAGTAAGATCACACCAAGGAAGGCAAGCTTTTTTTGCTTTGGGTATAGAGACACGCACCAAAGTAAAATACATGCCACAATATCTTTATCAGTTTGCTTGAAGCGACCGTCATAGTAAATTTGCGAACAACAACAGTACTTGAGTTTTAATACAGCTACAGAAAAATTCTTGTAGTTTTTGGCAATAAGATAAGCTTAGGTGAAACCTTCTTCGGTACGTTTAAAAATCGAGTTGAAGACGGCAAACGTGACGTAACTGCGTCCTACTGCGTATCTCGCGCTTCGCGCTCGCGCATCTTAACAACCCTAAGCACCTTAATGACGCCTTTTTGCGCAGGCTACGGTTGAGTTGTAAGGGCGATTATTTTGTAGAAAGCAATAACTTCATGATAACCAGAAGAAAATAAAAATTCCAAAGAAAAATATCCTGTTCTTCACGACAAATGGTTACAAAAAGAACAACATAGTTGTCTATTAATTTGTTTATTCAATAGTCCAGTTTAAACCCTGCTTGCGGCAATTTTAGGAAAATGTGTAAAATACTGTTCACATTTGTAATTTTCTTTCATTTTTTGGCAAGAAAATTGTGATCTATTTTTTATTCTTTTTTCTACATTGGCCAAAGAGCCTCTCAAACGTATCCATGGCCGGTAACGCCCGCTGTCAAATTTGAGGTCCTACAGCCGGGAAACATCACCAAAAAAGTGTAATCTGAGTCACTGTGTTCGAAGATATGAATAAATTTACTAACAGAGCTCTTACAATTTATACGATAAAAAGCTTTAAGAGCAAGAAATGCCTCAGCGTCAAAACAGATACTAGTACGAAAGTCAAAGAATGATAGCCGTTCGGGATTTACCCCGCTATACTACAATTTACTACACAGACGTTAGCATTGAAATGCAACGGCACACTTGGATGTTGTTTTTTTAAAAAACAACAGTTACTAGACGGACGCGAAATACGTCAATATACGGGTAGTACAAACGTAAAATCTTCCTACCTTTTCCGATCCTAACAGATACCTGTGCAGTTGCTAAACGCCTTCCAAATGACCATAGATCGAGGAGGTTTCCCGTCCCGGTGAGCACATAACAAAAGAGAAATTGGTTCCAACGGAAATATTCCAGAGCGCGCAAACCTGGACAACATTGCAAACGAGCATACCGAATGAAATCAGTTCTGAGTTCACTCCGCTAAGAGACCAGAGTGTATTATTTATTGGAGAGAGTTTTTGTATTCAATCGTCTCAATATTTGATGGCATTTATGTGCATTAGCGAATGTTCTTAATTCCATACACATGCACGGCAACCTGACAAAGAAACACAACCATTTTGCTTACCTTTTGGCCGCCTTAACATCAGGTTTAAAGCAGAACGTAGGAAAGTAGCTGATATGTAGACAGGCATATTAAAACACGAACACACAAAAGTGTTTTCTATAAAGGATCGACAGCGAAATGACTAAAAACAAAGCGGTGAGCGGTGCTTGACTCAACTGTGTCATTTTCTCACTACGTGTATCTTTTACAAGGTATTCACCGCAGGACTTTTTGCTTACACACCCAAACAAATTTCCGTTTCCACAGGTAAAAGGTGTCATTTCCACGGCTCGCGTGGGGTGATTTTCACGCGCAGTTACTTGCTTCGCCCGCGCTAATATCCATGTAAAAAATTACAGTGCGATTGCCAGGAGAAAAAATATACCTTTTTATCCAGCCAGAACCGGCATAAAGTTTTCATATTTTCAGCTAGCGAGGCGGTAATTCATATTTCCTAGCCAGCTAATTAGCCAATGTTTTTTCTCTAGCTAGCTCAAATTCTGCCTGTAGAGCGGGTATTTTGTCGAGCGGCTTCGTCGGGTACTCCTGATCTTTTTGTTCTCCAGAAATGTTGAGACTCGTTGCAAAGAAGAAGTTGAACGGTGACTGCATGAACAATCTTTTCTCAAAATAACTTTGTTTATGCAGTTAGCTCGTGGCAGCTTACAGACAAATATAAAATTTATGCTCGGCAATTAAAGAAACAGAAGAATCCATTTAATGTTCCCAACTTTGCGATAAGTTTGCTGCTTAAGCAATGGTTTTTTGGTCTCTTATTGATTACTTTGATATAGAAACAAAGGTCAACAATTTTGATTTATCCATAAGTGCATGCAGTCAAATATTAAAAGAAATGATGTGTGTATGAATGCTCCAAACATCCAACTTAACATAAACTCATCAACTTGTTGAACTTTAAATGAACAGCTTCACAGATAAGTACATGTACTCCTCAGCATCTTACACTTTCCGTGGTTCCACAAAATCTCAGTCTTATGGGTCAGCTATGAACCAAAAAGTAAAAAAAATTGCCCTGTACAGCATCACAAAAAGTGAGGAGCTTATTCAAAGGCTGTAAAAGAAGACCCTGAAACCCTGGATTGGGTGGTGCAAAACACTTTGACAGGAAGCTTAAATGTAGTTGATAGTAGTAACACATGGTTTACATACGAGTGGTCATACTTGTGGAAGACAGTGTTCTCCTTACCAGGTGGTAACCAGTAAAATTTACTGCCTGATGCAGCAGTCTTACCGCCTTCAACCGCTTGAAGTTTTACTAAAATTAAATAAGTAGTTTTATAAAAATATGCAAGTTGTGATCCGATCCAATGGAGGAAATTAATGAATATGTGGAAAAGTACTTAAGTATACACAGCTTTTCTTTTTATGGGCCATGCATTTTGGAAAGAGAACATTGAAGACATAGTAAAATTTACTCTGTTGGGATCAAATATTTTAAATTGTTGTCTAAAGATAGCAACAGCTGATTTGCGTAGAAGAGGTCTTAAAATCAGGAAATGACATTTCAGAGAAGTTAGCTCCTCCTAGGGTTGGGTCATGTCTCTCACTCCACTACCCCCTTCCCCCTCCCCCCTCCCCCCTCCCCCTCCCCCAAGAAAGTGAATCTCTGGGGTATATTTTTTGCCTTACCCGCCATGAATGGTCCCTTACTTGCTGAAATAAAATTTAGGGAGAACACTGGAAGAGGTTTGTTAAAGGACTGGAAAGTTAGGACTAACAGCACTGAAGGAAAATGTTATTCAGCAGCTATTATTTGAATGGTCATTACGTTGAAGGTTTCATTTACACTTCATGATCATACATGTGTATGACAGGGATGTCCACAAGGTGGCCCGTCTCGAGAACTACCTGTCATGAATAGTAAACCGCTTGTGTGGTTGTTATCTTACTGTATATTTTGTTTTTCCCTCCATCATGATTGCAGCAGCCTGGAACTACAGCCGCACTACTTTGCTTCCATTTGACACAGACAGTAGATTTAACTTTATATCACAGGTTAGTTTTTCACAGTTAGTTTTACAGTTAACTTTCACCTGAATGGTCATGTGGGAAGGTTTCATTTGCAGTTAACTTCCTTGCTGTATTACAAAAGTGTTCATTGGAAGAGGCTCAACTAGTTGTTGGCTTAATGTAGCTAAGTACATGTGATCAGGAGCAGTATTGCAAAAATGCTCAACATCTCAATTGAGCAAGCGAAAAGTAACATGCAAGTGAAAGATGAAAGTTTATTCAACAATGCAACTCTGCAGCAACAGGATTGCAGACTGGATACATAATAGTAATCCTTAATTAAAGCCTCTTATCTGACATATGTTTTCTTTGTTCCTTTCAATGTAACAGACAGGAATGGTCTTAAATTGGTGGGAAGTTTGTGCTTGCATCAGATGCCGACAGCTTGTAACTAAAGGATATTTCTTATACCCCAGGTTAGTAACTTAAAGTTCATAACTCTTACTATAAAAACTAATATTCTCCATATGCTGTTAAAGTAAGATAGAGGTCTAACTTGGTTATGGTTAGAGTTAAATGCATTACAAAAAAACAGCACCTAAAGGTACTTCCCAGTATCTTTGTTTCAATAGCTATGCACTACCAAAGGCCAGTTTCAAATTTATCAAAATTTGTTTTTGGCTCAAACCAAGGTTGAGGGAAATAAAACAAAAGAATTTAAATTATTACTCATCCCTGGAGCTCAGTTGGATTTCTTTTGTTTTAAAGTAAACCCTATAACCTTCAGAGCCAGTAGGAATTCTAATAATTTGAAACTTAGCCCAATTTTTATCAGATTAAGTGCTCTTAGTGTTATGACATGTTTGGACTCTGACAGTGAGCTCTTATTTGAAGCTGTCACGAAACCTTTCGTATATTTTCATCATTTTCTGCAAGAAGTAAGTTTGTTTTGAAACAAAACAATAAATGATGGCAAAATGTGAAGATGTACATGTACCAAGGCAGAATTTTTACTGGTTCCTTGAGGGTTTATTGAAAATACTTAAAAACTTAATCTTTTGGGAAGTCTCTTTGTAATACATAAGTGTAATGTAGTCAATTTCATTATCAGTAAGGTCAATTAATTAGTAAGAGTAATAAGTTAGGTAATAATTAACACTCCTTTTGTGCACTTCAGCTTTTTGGGAGGTGGGTGGTGGGGGTTGGTTGCTTACAGGTGTTTGTGGCTGAGCGCCTGTTAACTTTTCCTCTATCTACACTTGGGCTCTTATTGGAGTTTGGACCCATCATCAACTAAATGCGGCATTAACAGCCTCATTTAGGCCTGTCTAGATGGAGGTAGGGGACCCCAGGTAGGTGAGGTAACCCACTTGTCCAAATAATCTCTCATTTTAATTTGATCATGTTTACATGATAGGTGGCATGACCAGATGAGAGATTGTATGGACAGGTGGGTTACCTGACCTAAGGGGGCTACCTCACCTACCTGGGGTCCCCCACCTCCATGTAAACAGGCCCTTAGGGAACCAAAAGATAAAATTATCTTATATATAGCATTAGTAAAACTGGCACTGCCGGAAAGT